GAAGAGAGGGCGAGGGCGGCGTGTGGCTGGCCTGCCTGCCTGTGAGCGCCCCCTAGTGCACGCCGGGACCCTACTGTGTCCCCAGGAAGAAAACCCCAGCTCTGGGGACTCTGACCCGAAAGCTCTGGGTGGAGCCCCGCGTTTAGGCGGTTACATTTTAAATGAGTCATTTTCATGCTTCCTGAAAATAAATAAATACTAAAGCACATGCTGATAAGTACTAAACTTAGGCTTTTATGTTTTACCTCTGAATGTAAGGGAAAAATAGTGGAAGAACTAGTTTTTAAAAAACCTCTTATTTCACCGGTTAATATTTATGTTTGTTTTTTATTTAAATGCATCTTTAAATGAGGTTATTAACTTAAATGCCCCAGTATCTCCCCTATTACAAAATGCATTTTTTAAAGTCAGACATATGGGAAGGTAGGAGAGTTCTTTAAAAGTTTTGTGGGAAATGTGTATATGGAAAAAATGCATGGACATCAGATTGTTGTTGCTCCAAAATAAACTTGTACTTTAATTCCATTTTCCACAATCCTTGTGAAGTCCCCACTGTGTGTGTGACCTACGAGGTTGTCGTTTAGGAGGTCACAGGCAGGAAAAGGACAGTCACGTTTAGACAAAGCTATCCAATTGGCTCATCAGAAAGGGTCCCTGAAGAGGAATGCCAGTACGGGTGGCCGGAGCTGCTCCGTCACAGCACAGGGCCCTCCGCTCTGCCCCGTCATTGGCAAGCCTCGAGGGGCGTCTCTGGCCATTTCCTGAGCTGGCCTGCTATTACTGGCTGAGTCACTGGACTCCGGCGTCAAGCAGACAGCCCACGGCCCCGCAGACACCACCGCTCCTTTCTGGAAAAGCAGCCCTGGAAAATAGCTACTGCATTGCCTCCACGGCCTGAGGAAGTGAGCCAGGGGACCCATATAAAAGCAAGCTCAGGCTTACCTGGACTGAACACGGGCTCCTTGGGTTTGCTGTGAAAACAAACCACAAACAACGTTTAGAGATGGTCGGCTTCGCCGCGAGCTCCACAGCCTCCAGCTGCAGCGGTTCCTCACCGATCAATGCTGTGCGAGTTATATGGGTTAATGAGGAAGACAGAGACAATTCCAGTACAGAAAGGCACGTGCACAGACGGGAGGGCCAGAGGAGGCGCACGAGACTGTAACTGCACTTTATCGCCAGGATCGCGCTCTTCCTGGGAGCAAGAAAATGAGGAGGAGAGAGTGTGTAACCAGATGGGACCAGGGCCAGCTGGTGGCACGGCGGTTAAGGCACCTGGGCCCCACACGGCTGACTGCATGGTTTGGGTCTGGACCCGGAGGCTTGGTAAACACTCTGGGCTTACGTGCGTGCATGCCCAGAATCCCAAGAGGAGAAGTGGGGAGAAGGGATTGAGGTGTGGCCATTCCCCTCAGGTGACCTGGCATGTTCCTTCTCTCTGTCTCTGCTGAGCACACACCCTAGAGTGAAGTTAAGAAAAGATAGGAACAGCTCTAGTCTGAATGTGTACACATCAATCTTTCTCCCTACACTCATCCGACAGATTATTTAAAGAATTCATTTAAAACTGGCGAATTCCTGACGCAAGATTGCTGGGTGTGGCCTTTTAGACCCATCTCACAGGCAGATGTCTGGTGAGGAGGATTACAGGGCAGGACGAGAGGCGGGAAGGAGCCCCGGATGCCAAGGTGTGGTTCCTTGGCTCAGGCACTGTGGGAGCAGTGGGGACTGCAGTCACCCCGGGCACTCCCCCATGACTGGGCCTGGAAAACCAAACCCAAACCCCTGAAGGTTCAAGGACAGCACCAGATGAGCCAAGGCCATCCCTGAGGGGTCCCCAGGCCAGGCCCACTGTGTCCTGCCAGGGTGTGCGTGCCCCAAATCCTGATGGGACGGGGCAATGGAGGAGAGACGGAGAAGTGGGGAGAAGGGATTGAGGTGTGGCCATTCCCCTCAGGTGACCTGGCATGTTCCTTCTCTCTGTCTCTGCTGAGCACACACCCTAGAGTGAAGTTAAGAAAAGATAGGAACAGCTCTAGTCTGAATGTGTACACATCAATCTTTCTCCCTACACTCATCCGACAGATTATTTAAAGAATTCATTTAAAACTGGCGAATTCCTGACGCAAGATTGCTGGGTGTGGCCTTTTAGACCCATCTCACAGGCAGATGTCTGGTGAGGAGGATTACAGGGCAGGACGAGAGGCGGGAAGGAGCCCCGGATGCCAAGGTGTGGTTCCTTGGCTCAGGCACTGTGGGAGCAGTGGGGACTGCAGTCACCCCGGGCACTCCCCCATGACTGGGCCTGGAAAACCAAACCCAAACCCCTGAAGGTTCAAGGACAGCACCAGATGAGCCAAGGCCATCCCTGAGGGGTCCCCAGGCCAGGCCCACTGTGTCCTGCCAGGGTGTGCGTGCCCCAAATCCTGATGGGACGGGGCAATGGAGGAGAGACGGAGTGTGGCATGAGCACTCCCGAGGGGGCAGAAGGGAGAAAGGGTCTTCATATCGCCATCCTCTCCCCCGCCGTGTGGCCCGCCAGGACCTCGGGCGCACCTGGCCTGCTGAGGTAGACCCGGGGTGTGAACCATGAGGCGCCCCCACTGCCCGCGCCACTGCAGCCCGGCCTGCACTGCGCTCCTCGTGGAGAGAATCCATGGGGACAGAACTCCAAGCACAGGGAAGCTGCGGGCTCGCTGCTGTGCTGCTGTGAAGGGAGCGTGGCCGAGTGGAGCTGCGGTGCTTCTCGTCTCGAGTCCCGCTCTGAACCGCGTCTCATTTTGCCCTGTGCCACGTTCAGAAAAGACACTGGTGCTATGCTTCATTTTATTGCGAAGAGAGAAATTTGTGTAGAAATAAAGTACGGTGGCTTCAGAACCCGCTATCCCCACCACCATGCGCCATCTTGCCTGAAAGGTGAGAGGAGCACGCGGGAAGAGGTGGGTCCACTGGGCACGTGGGCCTCCCACCGACACACGGGCGAGGGCGGCGGACCTTCCTGTCTGCAGTGGACGGAACCAGTCGAGTGAGCGATGCTGACCGCGAGCAGTGGGCCAGCTGGCCAGCGGACACACGCACCTCCCTGTCCCGAACGCAAGTCTGCAGGGAGGAGATGGCCCTGCGAGCCTGCCTGTGTGGGACTGCGTGGACTGAGAGCTGCCGCGGCGTGGGAGGTGTTAGGTAACTTGTCTGATGACCCGTTCCTTAAGGTGAGCTGAATGGAAAAAATGAAGCTGGTGACTTAACCCTCCTCCCAGGTGGGGTGCGGTTCTCTGGGGGCAGGAAGAACACCCATCCCCGTTCTAGCAAGGGACGAGAAGTGCCAGGTCTGGAACGCGGCCTCCTCCATCTCTGCCTGTACGCTGCCCACCCAGGTCTCCCCACTGCCCCTGGGGCCCACAGGGGAGAGGGCTTTCCCTGGAGGAGGAAGAGCCCTCATCCCTGGCTCTTTGGGCAGTGGGCTTGGCCCACACCGCCCCCACGAACTGCTGCGATCTGGTGTATTTGGGCAGGAAGGCCATCTGCTCAGAGCTTGTCCCTGTGCGCCCTTGAACTGGTGGGCTCAGTGACTGCCCTGAGGACTCGGGTAGGACAGACGCATCTCCGGGGCTACATGGGGGTATGCGGCACACCTGGGCCTCCGCCAGATCAGGAGCTGGAGCCGGAGCTGCAGGTGCTCAGCTGGCCTAAGGAGAAAACGCCCCGAGCTGCAAGGCTTACCCGGACTGCAGTGCAGTGGGCAAAGGACGAGCTGCTACAGCCGAGTGGCTAGCTGCCTATCAAAGTCCTCCACGTGCTCTCCGGGGGCTCAGGGCACAGGGAATACGTAATATTGGCTGTTTTACTTCTCTTCTGGTAAAACACACATCTGCAACACTACGAGGTAGCGTTTACAAGGAGCAGGGGCCGTGGAGAACTTGGTCAGGTAGACTCCTGAGCAAAATGTGTCAAAGTCGGACACATGCTGTTAAAGCTGTCCACCCATAGGTGGTGCTGTTGACATAGTTCTTAACAGGCTTTTTTTTTTTTTTTTTTTTCTTTTTTAGGTTTTTGCCATTGGGCTCCAGAGCTCACCAGAGAGTCACAGAGAAGGGATGGCCACGCTTCAATCCCTCCCCTCCATTCTCATCTCAGGATTTTGGGTATGCACACATACACGTGTACTTGGTATGATTTTCAAGCCACCAGGTCTGGGACTCAAATTGCAGTAGGCCATGTGGGAGTCCAGTGCCTTAGCCACCATGCCACCTGCTTACTCAAGAAGCTATGATTTTAGAATTTGATAGGTAGCATCCTTTATTCATTCCAATATATTTTTTGAGCAGCTACTGTGTACTAACCACGGCGTAAAGTCCTAAAGAGACAAAGAATAAGAAACTGCATAGCCCTGCCCTCCCCAAGTTTCGGGGAAGACCAGTGGGTGTGTGGGTGTAGCTAGAGGGAATTGGGGGTTGCTAATAAATTAACAGGCAGTTATAACTGAGTCTTGTAGGGTGAGCTGATGTTGGTCCAAGCATATGAGGGGACTTCAAAATGTTCATGTCAAAATGGAATTAAAATATGTATTATGGTATAAAAAATGTATGAAGTTCATGCATAGATATTTCATAATCTGCATTTCCATGAACTTTGCAAAGACTCCTCATATCTTCCATCTCCTAAAATACCACACACATACCTAAGTCACCAGGGAGAGGGAAAACCTCCTCCACTAACCAGGAGCTAGACGGTATTTGCCTAGAAGACTCCATTAAGCTCTGCATGTGTTTGTGCGGTTTTCTATATGTGTACAATATTTACTGTATAATAAATAATAAATAAATAAGGTTTTCCTAACAATATAGAGGTTCCAAAACAAAAAACAAACAACAATAACAACAACAACAACAAAAAAAAACAGAAAAACAAACCCTACAAATAGAACTACCATATGGCTGAATAACCGCACTCCTTGGTATTTACCCAAAGGATAGGAAAACACTCAGAAAGATACTTGCACATTCATGCTTATTACAGAATTATGCATAATTACTAGGATGCATAGTCAACCTAAGTGTCAAAAGACTGACGACTAACTTGAAAAACTGTGGCATATGTATATACTATGGAATATTACTCAGCCATAAGAAACAATGAAGTCCTATTGTTTGATTCAAGTGGATGAATATAGAGAACTTAATGTTGAGTGAAGGGAGCCAGACTTTGAAAGAGTCACACTGAATATCCCCATTTAACATGTACTGAACGTCTGCATTTCATGACAGAAATTGAAAGATGTGAAGATATGACAGTAGGAAGGGTAAATGTAGATAGCAAAGACTAAGGGAAATAGGAGCTAGTGCATGTTACAACTATGGTTCCCGCAAATGGCTGAAGCTTTCCTGCTGTAACAAAAGCTGCTCATTGTGACAGATAGAAACATAGTTTCTTACAAATTGACCTCTTATCCCTCCAGGGGTTATAAGAGGGAAGCAGTTTATAATTGAAACATTTTACCAATTTAGCAACATTTAAGGTAAACTGTGCTTCTAAAGGAGTAGCTATTTTCCTTTTACTATAAAACTTTATTTTAATTACCTATCAGATTTGTATACTGAAGGTTAAAGTGTCTATCGGAATGTTACTGCTGACTCCCTATTTAATTGATTTTTTTGGGAGAGGTTTTTGCATACGGTGCATGCGCTTGCCAGAAAGAGACAGAGAGAAAGTGAGAAATCACCCCCCAGGGGGGCCGCAATCCCTTCTCCTCCATTCTCCTCTTGGATCTTGTGCACGCATACACACATGCCCGGCGTGAGTTTAAGCCACTGGGTCCGGGACTCAAAACGTGGTCGACTACGTGGGAGTCCAGCGACATAGTCATCGCGCTAACTGCTGGTCCCCTTATTTAAATTTAATGTGTACTTCATGATGACAAGGATCAGTATGTAATTATTAACATTCATTTACCATCAGTAATATATGAAGTAAAACATTACATTGTCATATACTTCTTTTGTTTTTAACAGAAGTTTTGTCAGTCTAAAATTAAGTGTTATTCGAATTTTATGGCCTGGGGCCAGCAGGTGGTGTGGTGGTTAAGGCGCTGGAAAACTCCCACGTGGCCAACCACGGTTCAAGTCCTGGGCCTGGTGGCTTGCTCTCTCACTTTCCTTCTCTCTCTGTGTTCTCTCTGATAAAATTGAAATAAATGAGTGAATAAATAAAAGTAAATAAATAATTCTTTAAAAAAACAAATTTTATGGCCTGTTGCAAGCAAGGATTTTATAATTAATTAAACATCCTAAGATAGAGGTCAGCAATGTCACATATAGGACTTAAATCTAGTTGCTATTTCTAAAGAAAAGGGAGTGACCCACAGATACCTAAAGATACGGGCGCAGGGAGCCTGACACTGCCGTGAAAAATAGAGTTCCCATGGAAGTGGAACATGAGTTCGCTCTTTGAAGTGCACGGTCCCAGCTCAGAACACGTGAATGCTCAGGGCTTTGAAAGCGCTGTTATTTCCTGTCCCACAGAGACACCTACATGGCTTACATGAAAAGGCCCCACACCCGCCAGGACCGTTACTGGGCAACACACGCTGAAGTGGGACTGCCGTCCTGGGGGGGGGGATCGGCACGAGGAGCTGCCTGTGCCAGTGGTGGCGTTGCACGCGGTGTGAGGTGTGTGTGCTTGCACGTGGAAGCGGTGTGTGCGAGTGGCGTGCTTCCCCCCATGAGGACGGCAGGGAAATGCCGCTGTGAGGCCAACCCTCACTGCGCTCGGCCGAGCTCTCCTGGGTGGCAGTCGGAGGGACCTGGAACTGGGGTGCTGGCAAGGACAGTGCCTGCTCACGCCGCTCTCGTGGCCGATGCAGTCATGCGCCTAGCATGCTTTGCTGTCAAAACCGGGGTCGCACTCATGGGACTTCGCCCCACACGTGACTGAACACGCGTCAGAGCAGAGAAAGGCCGGCCGCCTGGGCGCCACCTAACACGCCCACCTGGCCACCCGAGCAGACGGAAGCCGAGCCCCGCAGGTGGCCTCCCTCTGCTCACTGCCGGGTTCTTCCGGCAGGTCCGTGTTACTGCGAGGTGCAGAATCCCCCTAGGAACCAGCAGTTAGCATAATGGCTATGTTGCTGGACTCCCATGTAGTCGACTGCGGTTCGCGTCCCGGATACGATGGCTTAAACTCATGCCGGGCGCGTGTGCGTGTGCGTGCGTGCCCAAGATCCCAAGAGGAGAATGGAGGAGAAGGGATTGTGGCATGGCCATCCCCCCTGGGGGGTGATTAAAAAAAAAAAAAAACAACTCTCCCCAAAATAAGAATCCCTAGGTCCCAGAGGCTCCGAGACGGTAAGGCCGAGCTGGCGTACCCGCCTCGTCCTTCTCATGCTCCAGAGCCAGCGGCCAGGCCGCGACCATCTTGTAAAACCCAAGGTGGCCCCTGGGACAGGAGTGAGTGCGAGTGGGTGATGGGGAGGGCCACGGATGGACCCAGGGACGTTTACGGGAGGAATCCCTCAGGGCCCCCTTCCTTGACACCTTTCTCAGCACGCATCAGGTCCCAGATCCAGGCATTTCTGAGGAAGGTTCCAGCTCCTCCACTTTGGTGCTGAGTCACGGTGGGCCAAGAGTGGGGCTGCTCCGTGGGGAATGGAGAGGAAGGACGGAGAGATGGGGTCGGGCAGCGACCGAAGACCAGCCTGACCTTCATGGCTCCCTTCTGTCTGCGTGACCACTCTGGTGTGCCTAGGGCCCTCGGTGTCTCCGACAGTACCGGCAACTACAGGAGACAGGGATACTCTCTTGGGGTCCCTGAGCTCTGGGCCGTGCTGGCCTCAGCCGTCCCTGGGCTCTCGTGGGACAAAGGACTTCTCTCCAATGGACATGCTTAATTGCACAAGGTATTTTTAGAAAATGACTAGTAAATTTTCCCAGCCTCTCATTTCCAAATCAAAATTTCCTGCTGCAGCATTAAAAACCTCCCTCCGTAACGATCTTTTATGGAAATAGGTACTCAGTACATATACCAAAGCCATCGGATTTAAAAGATAAAACGGATCTGGAGTTTACACAATGCAGACTCTTTTGGAAATTCTTAATAAAAATCAGATGTGCGGAGAGAACAGCCAAGCCTTCAAGGACTGCCAAGATCTACACATCTCAGGCCAACTTTCTAGAGTCCCCTGAATTCAGATAGAGCGGCTGACCGCACCCCGCTGACCCTGACCGGGCTGTGTTGTCCTAATCACGTGGCCTTCTTTCCAAGGTCTTAGCGCCCAATTAGCATAATCTCCTGATAAGAAGCCCTAATAGTCTACACTGGGAGAAGACAGAACCCAGGTCAATGGGCTCTGGATTGTAATTGACTGTGGACTTGACCTGCTGCAGATGGGGCATCTTTTCTACAAAATGTGTCTTGAGGAATAGCCCCGAAACAGGTTCAGGCCTGCACAGGACTGCACCGTAACGGACTTACAAACTCGGGACCCTGCCGCCGGTGGGTTGGAGTCGATTGCTTTGCGACTAAGCCTTCTCTTTCCAGGACCGCTTCAAGAAAAATGCATTTAGTCTCCGATGTTGAAATTCTCTCCCAAGCTTTGGTAAACAGAGAGAATAAACCTGAAGGACGGTGTTTAGAAAGTCAGAATACCGGACAGAGTTAGGTGAGCGTACACACAAACTGACCTCTCTACAGTCGTCAGCATAAAACAAGGCGACCAAGTGCAGAGAGCAGCTTTCACAAATACGGACCGTCAGTCTCGTAGCTGTCTCATAAGCCGTTACAAATCAGCCTCATGGAGCAGCTCGAGATTAGCAGGAAACACAGTTCACAAAACCAGAAAGAATGGTCCCTCTCTCTGGGCTTAACTTGGTATTAAAAATCGCTCTAGGCCAGAGGCAGGGCCACCCGCCTGCTGGAGCCTCGGGAAGCAGCAGCTGGGACCCAGGTGGCCCTGGACCAGGCCAGGTACACACGAGCCTGTGACCCTGGCTGGCGGGACGGTGGGGGCCGAGGTGTCAGGTCCAGGGTTCCTCTCGCGCTCTCTCAGTAAACCACAAAAAAGTCTCTAATGAATCATAAACTACGACCTTTGGCCCACCGTGTCTCTGAAAACGCGGCTGCTATACTCAGCGTTGTCCATTACTGCTGACTTAAATGGAAGTAGGGTGCCCTAGGAACACAGGGTGCTCCACGTGGAACTCCAGAATGGCTTCCCAAGGGTCACGGACACTCAAGGGTCACGTACGTGGTACTAAGCAAGTGCGAGGAGCTCCCCGTATCTATGTAAGAGTGCTGGGAGCTCGAGCTGCTCATGGCAGGGGGAGGTTGGGAAAGTGAGAAGTCACTCCTCAGGCGGGTGGCCACACCTCACCTCAGGTGGGCAAACACACGAATCTGGAGCTGTTTTCCAAGCCATCAGGCCCCGGGCTCAGACCAGGCAGCCAGCCACGCGGAATCCAACCACCTTCACCCCCAGGCCGCTTGCACCCCAAGCCGTCGTTTTTCTACCCGGACAACAACCCCTGTGAGTGGGGACTAAGGCTGCCTGGTTTGTGGTGCACGCATTCCGGGAGAAGGTCGTGGCGCCGGTGAGAGCCACCAGCTTGCTGAGCGGGCCGCCTCTGGCTCATCTCTGCGCACGAGGGGTACAGCGCCGGGCGCGGCCAGGGGCGAGACGTCCTTACCTTTCGCTGTTCTTTTTGCCACTGGAAGAGCTGCTGGTGGAGCCCGTGCGGTTCCGGTTTCCTTTGGACTCCCCGTAGCTTTCTCTCCGACCCCCGGGAGACACCCGCTCGGAAGATCTGGTCATC